GCATTTGTTGTTTCTTTGCTGAGAGAAAATGGTCAAAGTAGGATTTAGTGTTCTCGCTCACAAACGACATGAAGCTATTCTATTATACTAATATTATCTAATATTAGTATTATTTATTGAGCAGTATTTTGAAGATAAATATGTCAGCGTGGTTTTATTAACAGGCCAATAGTTATTATCTGACTATAACACATTTAATAACGCGTCCTCGTGTTTCTGCGTGTGAGAGAACACAAGACTTGGAAATGAATGTAGTGCATCATCCTATTTTCATATTAATTCTACTTTATTTTTAGGTGAAGTTGTATTTTAGTTTAAAAATTATTTGGACCCCTTGTTAAATTCTCTCTCATAATAAGTTGGAGAGATGTTTGAGGGAGACGCGCAGAGAAAGTTGCCCGGCAGTGGAGCACCTCAGTCGGTATGATGTGGGGACTACTAGCGCCTTACCAGATGAGGGCCGGTCCGAGTACCGTGTACAGTAAACCCAGGCGGGCCACAGCAGCGGCTGGCTCTCCTTACTGGCGGCCGGAGACGCTCCGTTGCCGCCGCTCACAACCACAATAGACGAGGGGCTGTCCGCGTATCTCCCGGTGCCGGTGCCCGCCGGCTCGCCCTGCTTCGACGAGTTCTGCTTGGACGAGGGCGACGAGGACGTGGAGGACGAGGAGCACGGCGACGACGAGGTGCTGTCGCTGCTGCAGTTCGAGTCCAGGCACAGGCTGCCGGTGTGCGCCGGCGGCCTCGCCCCGGCCAGCGGGTTCACGTTCTCGCGGCCCGGCGTCTGGCTGCGGTAGCCCGGCTCCTTCCTGCTGCCGAAGTCCGGCCGGAGGATGTTGTCGATGAAAAAGTTGGTGGTTCTGTGGGCCTGCTGGGCCGCCTGGTGCGGGAGCATCAGCGGCGGGGACGGGAGGTTCGGCGACAGGGACAGGCTCTCCTCCTCGGTGGAGTCCCGGCCGCTGCTCGGCTCCTTCGACTCTTCCATGGCTGGTGGCGGCGAGAAACGTCGGCGTCTCCGCGGCAAACTCCACTTGTTGCCTCCGTCAGTATCCAGAGTTTCACCCACTCTCACGTATCTTCTGTCAAATGCCTCAAATCACCCGCAGCGGCCGCATGTCGTCTCCTCACAGGCTTCCGTACTCGGACATACCGGGCAGCTCCCGGTGAGTTCCCGGTGCTGCAGAATATTCTGTCTCCTCCGAACTCCCCGAAACCCCGTTATCTGCTCCCGGGAGTGTGCGTGTGTGTGTTTGTCTCCTTTACTACACCCAGCCGGAAGCACGTGTGCGCGTGCACGAAGCGCAGCGGGCCAATCAGGAGCGGGGATCGTCCCTGTCAGATCTCACGGTGGCCAATCAGGAGCCACCCTCGAGTGCGCGCGGCTCGTAGACCGATTTTTTTTAAGGTTTGGGCACGTGCATGTAGTCAGTAAAAACAACAACACGAACATTCTGAATAACACACACACTGGAAATAGAGTTTCATAGTGATACACAAACAAATCACACACAGCAACAAATATTCAATTCAAGCTTTTATTCTTTATGGAATTTATTTATAAATCAAATTGAATTCATGTTAGTTTTTATTATATTTAATGGAAAGTTGGTTCATACAATCATTATTTGCAATGTGTGTTTTTTTCGCTTCAGTGCACAATTTAAAAAATCTATAACAGGATTTCAACAGTGTTTTTACTCTATCGTTTAAATTAGCCTGAAACGTGCTTTAAAAAATACGTCAAACTTAGATGATGAAAATAAAAACCCAGCTCGTCTTTCTTTAATTAACCTCCAATGTGTTTCTTAGTAAATTCAAACATTTTCTGCACTTTTTCATATTTTCCTTTTCATTTCTTCCACCGCAGCGTCACTCGTTGACCTCTTTTATTTTGAATCCCTCTAAAACTCTTTTAATTTCTTTTTAAATGCTTCTTTTATTGTATTACCTTCCTTTTAAACTCCGTCATGATGCATTTTTAATTTAATGTAACGCATTTTAAATTGCCTTGCTGTTCAAATGTGCCATATGAGTAAACTTGCCTATTTCCTGTGTTGTGTGAAGCATATTTAAAATTTAACCATTTATATTGTGGCAGCTTTTGGCAGCAGCATAAAAAAAAATATAAAAAAAAGAAATATATGGAGCCCTGCGGGAATGATAATAAATAT